CTCCGCGTAAGGTAACGTTAAAATTGATTGAAACAAAAATAAAGTTATTCTCTTTTATTCTATCAAGAAAACTATACATTAAATTTCTTTTTGCAGCGTTTCCGCAACTCTCAGTCGAAACAGCATGCAGATGCGAAATCTTTGAAAAGTCAAATAAGAAAACAAATATTCTCTTTGCGAAGCAGAGCTTTACATGAAGACAATTAAATCCAAGTAATTTTCACGTTTTTGAATGTTCTTGATATTTTGTGTTCTGAATTATTTGCGTTTTAAATTTGTTCTAAATATAAAATTTATTGTTCGTATTTTATATTATCGCGCGCGAACATAGACAAAGATCTCGACATTCTTTTCCTAACGAGTTCGAAATCATAAACAAGTCACGAAGTTGTTTTGAAATTTTTACATATCATGGCAATGTAATATAGAAGTTTTTTTTTAAAAAGATGTTCTTGAATAGAACTCGTTGCAAATATTTATGAAAGATAAAGCAACAGATTTGAGATGTATTACTTTCGTATTAATTATAACAATTATATACATTGATTTGATATTGATTATATAAATTGTATGTACGAAATACTACTCCGAAATACCCTAACAAGTTATTTAAGGAATATGCATAATTTACATGTCTGAATAAAAGTTGTAAATAACTAATGCAAATACAAAATAGTTTTTTTTTCAATTTTACATATTTTTACATAACATAATGTATTCTTAAATGAGGGTTGAATAAACGCTATTCAGAAATTTCAAGCAAATGTGACTGTATCCTAAATGATATATCGTATGGAATTTTATATATAAAGACTATTTAATATACATAATGCCACGTTTTTAAGAGCAGCGGTTATATCGCTAATATGATCTCCACTAATTCGGATCTTGACTATCGAGTGAATTCTAATCATCTTTGTCGACAATTAGAATAGTAGAGATGATGTACATTTACGTAAACGTGAGAAATAACTGAAGTGTTTATCTGTACGTAATATAAAAGGGAAAACTTTAGGAAGAAATAGAAAAATACCAAAAGTACCCAAAAATCAGAAATAATTATCTTGGATTTAAGAATTTTATTGCTTATTTATCTATTTATCTTATAATTTTCAGACTCTTCTTATGTTCAACTCTTGAGAATTGTATGAAAAGAGAGTTTATATAAAAAAAATATAAGCAGCGATAGAAAATTGTTATAAAATTCTTCATTAATGAATATGTTGAATTTGACAGATATCTATCTAGCTGTGCTCTTGGCACCAGGTGTATGCATTATCGAAAATTCGCTGCCACGGCGAGTCTTTAAAGTCCCATTCCACTGGCTTCCAAGGCCATTGCCACATTTGCGTGCACCTCTCAGGATGCGGCATCATCGCCAAGTGTCGCCCGTCTTTGGAGCAAACGGCTGCGATGCCATTTACACTGCCGTTTGGATTCATAGGATACGATATGGTCGAATTACCATGATCGTCCGTATATCTGCGATAGAAATAATATAAAGTAACGTAGAGTATTCTTAAAATATTTAGAACTTTATCAATATGTGTTTCATTCTTAATTTCATAAAGAGATCACGCAAAATGTACCTGATTGGTAAGCAATTGTTCCTCTTGAGAGTTTGCAAAACCTCCTCACGGAAAGTGAACCTGCCCTCTCCGTGAGCTATCCATATCCCCAGCACGCTATCCTCCATCCCCTTTCAGCATGATCGAGGGTGAGCTCTCGATTCTGACCGTGCTCCACCTGCACTCGAATCTCTCCGAGAGATTGTGGTCCAAATAATCCCTGGTCCGTTCTCAACGTCCTCGTCGCCCACCCATCCTAGCAAACGTCATCAGCTGACAACCATTGCAAACTCCTAAACTGAATGTGTCCTCGCGAGCGACGAATCGTTGCAGCTGCTCGCGTAACGATGGATGGAAGAGAAAGCTAGCCGCCCATCCCTTGGCGGAACCGCAGACGTCGGCGTAGCTAAAGCCACCGGGGAAGATAACACCTCTGAAGACCTCCAGGGTGACATGGTGTTCCAGTAGATCCTGCATCGTGACGTCCCAGACGTTGAAACCGGCTGCCAGCAGAGAAGCGGCCATCTCTCTGTCCCCGTTAATACCTTCCTCTCGTATCACCGCTACTTTGATGTGTCCCGACGGATTTTTCGGTATTGAACGAGACCTAAGGGGATCGAAACTTAGCCGATAGGCTGGAACGGTACGTTCCCACAGCCTGGTAAATTCCTCCAGAGCACAGATAACGTTCGTCTGATGGCGCTCCAGTTGGTAACTGGTCTCTTCCCACATGTTCATCGCTTCGATTACGGTGGTGTTGAGTGCGACGTTATTGTGCACCTTGATGATCACGTCCGATAACAGTCCAAGGCCTACAGACTTTCCGATGAGGAACACGGGTGCTCCATGGCGCTGGAACACTCCTATCGCTTCATCGCAGTACTTCTCATCGACCTCCAGCACCCAGCCAACCTCCTCGGTAAACAAAACATCAATGGCGGATGCAGATTTGTGAGTTATGTCGACGTTTATCCCGGATATTCCAGCGAAGCACATCTCCAGAAGACACGTGATTAGTCCACCGTCGCTAACATCGTGACCGGCGAGAACTTTGTTGTCGGCAATCAGCTGCTGCGTGGCGTCAAAGGCGCTTCTGAAAGCCTGCGCGTTCTCAACGTCCGGCACGTCGTCGCCCAATTGATTGTAGACCTGAGACAGGGCTGTTCCACCGAGCCGGCTCTTCCCGCCGGACAGATCGACGAAGAGTAAGCGACCCTGCCGTCCCGCGGCAGGAGCTTTGAGATCCGGAGTGATTACCTGGCGAACGTCGGGACACGGCGCATAGCAGGACACGACGAGAGTACCGGGTGCTTTGACGACGTCCTTGCCGATGCGCGCGGCCATGCTGAGCGAGTCCTTGCCGCCGTCGATCGCAATTCCAAGCTCCTTCATCAACGAACACATAGCCGAGCAGGCTTCATAAAGCGCAGCGCCCTCGCCGGGTAGTTTTGCCGGCCACATCCAGTTGCCGCTGCATTTGACATCTCGAAGACTGGAGATTCGCGCAAACACCAGATTGCTGAGGGCCTCAGCCACCGTCATGCGAGCGCCGGCCGCTTCATTCACGAGTCCCTTAATCGGCTGTTCGCCAATGGAAGTCGCGATGCCTTCCACAGAGAAATGTGAAATGGCTATCACGGCGACGTCCGCCAGAGGCGTGTGCAGTGGACCGACACATTGCTGCTGGGCTACTAAGCCCGTCACGCAACGGTCTACCTTGTTTGTTAAGTATCTGTATATGACAATCAATTTGATAATCAATAAAGTTTTATTATAGTCTTATAATAGAATTGATAATAATAAAACACAATACCGTTTGCTAGCTACTGAAGGCAGTCGAAGAACTCTGTCTAAAGCGCTAGGCACGGTCAATCCATCGGGCAGGCTCATCGGGAATCTCGGCGGCGACACCTTCTGCAGATTGAAGACCTTGCGAGGCATTTTCCCAAGAATAACATCCAATTCCAGATTCACCGGATGCTTGCTACTATCCAAGTTTTTATCTTCGTAATTAAGATACTTCGAGGCATCGCAGCTTTCCTCCTCGGAAACAATAAGTTTTCCATTTCCGGTAACAGTGCCGACAAAATTGATCGGACACTTCTCACGCGCAGCGATTCTCCTCAACAGACCGTCGTCCTCCGGTTTGCACAAGATCGCGTCGCTTTCTTGATACTCCGCGCCCCAAAGTTCCATCGTGCTGATACTAGGATCACCGAGGTCAAAGTTTCTTGTGAAGATCACGGCACCGGCGGGTTCCACCAGTTCCTTGAGGACATTGCCGTTACCACCGGCACCCTGATCGTGAATACTGAGAATTGGATTGCCGTTGCCCATCTCCGCGCACGCACGCACCAAGCGGTTCAATTTTTGCTCCATCTCGGGATCGCCACGTTGCACAGCACCGAAATCCAGTTCGGCACTGTTATCGCCTTGTACCTCCACGCTGCTCGCCGAACCGCCACCCACGCCGATTCGATAGACTGGCCCGCCGATCTTGACTACTTTCATACCTCGTTCTGCTGGAACCTGAACAAGAATTATCGCATGTATGTAATATCCGAATCACGGTGCAAGTAAAAAGTTTTTTTTTAGTAGTATTATACTCTGAAAAATCAACTATTGTAAAAACTATTTACAATACCGCGAAAAATAAACTTAGAACCTTACGTTATTAGCAAAATTCGCATCCATGGTTCCTAATCCTCCACTGAACATTATGGGCTTGATCCATTCTCGTCTGACTCCTGCGTTATCCGTTGCTCCGTAAGAGCGTACAAAACCGGACACAACTGGCTCTCGAAATTTGTTTCCATAATCGGATGCACCGTTGCTAGCTTCAATTATGATTTCTAACGGCGATGCCATGTTGTTGGGATAAATTGCATCCTTTTCTTCCCATAGTAAATCGTAGTCTGCAAAAGATAAACAGTGTATTGAGAATGATCCGATATTGATGTTTAGACGTTGGTGGTTTATTTACTAGGCAAAATATCTGAACCGATAGCTGCAACCATTTATTCACAATATAGATAAACACTATAATTTTAACAAAACTTAATCAAGAAAAATAAAGATTTAACGTACCTGGAATGTGGAGATTGCCAACACTGTAACCTGCAGTGCCCGCTATATAATTCCCTCCTCTACCAATACCTTGAATATCCCTCAGTCGACCTCCAGTGCCAGTTGTAGCACCACTGTTATAACATTAATTCATATTTAAAACATATATCAAATCAAATATAGCAGTAAATCATTAATCATTCATGAAACAAATTAAATCGGTATACAAACAATCTAAAATATGTAACATTGATTCTTTAATTTGATTTTACCTACTCATTATATAATATTACCTAGATTTACCTAAAAGGTGCCACACCAGTTGGAAAGTTATGTGTCTCCGCTGTAAAAATGAGATGCTGTTTGACATCGTCTAGATGAAAATTGCTGCATTTGTCAGTTTTTATAGGACGCAGGACGGAGACTTGAAATCCTTCTATGGCGCTGCTGTTATCGCTGAATTTAACACATTGTTCGGATTCGAATAATTTTGCGTGTCTATGACCATATCGATCAAGGATTGTTTTTCCTCTTTGCCATCCAAAACGATGCGCCCTTTAAAGAACCAATGACGGCTATGTTCACTATTAGATTGCGCTAAATCGAAACATTCCACACTAGTTGGATTGCGTTTCAACTTCCGGAGAAATAATTCTGTATAAAAATCTAAATCCGAATCGTCAAATGCCAAACCTGCAAAACAAGATCGTATAATAAAGAAATTAGATAATGTAAAAAAATTAAATTATTTAAAATAATGAAAACATAGATTTATTAACAGGAAAAACAAGCTAAGATAATCCAAACTATACAATTTTATCTATATTTCAAATATCTATTTTTAATTGAAAAAGATCTAAGCTTACAGCTATGTATTGCTATTTACTCAATTGTTTATATCTGCTATGTATTGCTACTTACCCAATTTCGTATTAACTTCTTCTAAAGCTTGCCTGCCTTTATTAATTACATCAACTTCGAACCATTTCTCTGGCCTGAAGCCATGATCAAACGTTTCGATGGGTTTTACGTATCTACATTCCGTCATCCGATCTCCCAGTACATCTACAATCTATAAAACAAGTGTCTTTTTAAATAAACTGGATTATATAATAATAGTAGTTTTAGCTTTCAAAAAATATTGATTTTTAAATATAACAAATGTGTACATACAGCATTCTCTACTTTTTTATCAAACGTTCCTTTATGCTTGATGCGATATCTAATAGCCGCTTCTATCCTTGTTACTTTATTCAATTTGACAGATTTACATATGGAAACTGCGTTACTAGAAAATGCTGTCGAGAAATTCAATCTATAACAACAGAAAGTTATTTTATACGAAGCATAAAACCAAAGTTATAAATATGATCATTAAATATAAATCTTTACCTGGGTCCAAATTCAATAACAATAGCATGATTTTCAGTTTTATTGAACACACTGTCACATCGCAAACATTCTCGCTCGAAGGGAGGTGCCAAGATCCACTTCAATATTCGGACTTCCTCTTCCTGAAGCGGCTCGGTTGTTTCCACATAGTAACATAGCTCGGTCTCAAGATCCGTCACCGATGCCTCGATTTGCGACACTTTGTGCAGTTTGCTTTTCAGCTGGCCCGTCTTTAATCCAGGTGCCTTGTAAAACTTCAGGATACCCATCTTTAACAATCTATAAGAACGACCGAGATGTTAATGAAGTAGATGGCGAGCAGTGACCATCTGAGATTAAAAACATCGAGCTGTGATAGCTTTATCGATATCGTGGACCACTCAGCGAGCTGAAATTTTTTCCGTTCTGGATTGCGGGAGGTCGATGCAACAGGCGGCTAACTGATGAAATCATGTGAAGCAATTGACTTGCCTAATTCAATTCAAACCAATTCAATGTCCATGAAGTATATAGTGCGCATTATCTCAGAGCTATAGTCATTTTTGAGTTCCTTGAAATCCTTCGTCTAATTTGAATCTGATTTTTTCCAAAGAATCATAATCTACTTTTTAATTCTTAATATTAATTATAGTCATAATTATTTTTTTAATAGAATTTAATTTTAAATTATATAAACATGAGATTTAATTTGTATTCTTAAAATTTAATTTGTCAAAGATTTTTAATTTTTAATGTCAATCAAGAGATGAAATGGCTTCTGGTATTTCACGGTCAAATATATTTAGAAAAATTACATATATTTATTACTTTTCATAAGAAAATTTTAGGCAAATTCTTAAGTTTTATATTGAAAATTGAAAATTTAGAACATTCAAGTTTTTGCTTTGACAAAAAACTGTAAGAAAAGATAGAAATGCATTAATTTTTTCACAGCATACAAAATATATTCAAAGATTTTAAGAATTGTTCAAGAATCAAGGGATTTTACGTTTTAAAAGTATTTCAAAATCGTAGGAATATTTAAATGTAATGATGAAAAGGTCATTTAATGCTATCATTTGTTTGTCGCCTTATGACGTTGAAAGACAAACTGCTTTACGTGATATCAATGTTGTAATTGCTTCATCGATGTTGAAAGCATAATATTGGGTCATGAGGTCATCTTATGAAGTAAACTTCAATTACTATGCTTTTATAGTTAACTATTTATATCTATAATATCAGATTTCTTTTACAATAAATATCTTGTTTAAAATCCTAAAACTATACACTAAATATTATTTGTTTGATTAATTTTATTTTTTTTATAATTCTTACTGTAATAAACATTTTGAGTTTTTTATAATAGCAAACAAAATTTTATAATTTGTAGAACAAAATTATTAAAACTGAATTTTTTCCACACATTTATGTATCCTAAACATAAAAAATATTTATTAAAGTTCTTAATTTGTTACAGTATGTTGGCATATGCTTGCATACCGCATATTATAAAAACAAAAGTAAAACTTATGTAAACGTTTTTGTAAACATATACAAGAATACATATAATTTGCATATATTTAGTTTTTATTGTTCATTGTCAGAAATCTAGTTAAACAAACAATTTTTATGTCAGAACTTTGAATAATCATCTTTCTCAATCCAACCATATTAACCTTATAAAATTTGATTTTTAAAACTTTTACAGTGAAAGGCAACAATTTTAATCTTTATTTTGTATGTGTTAGAAAGATGTATTATTCACCACATTATACAAAATATGTGATAAATTTTATCAAAATTATTGAAGATCCTTCTATTTATCTCATTTTTTTCGAATAACATACTATATGTTTTAACCGCTAAAATGCGTATCTTAATACACCAAATATTGGGTACATGAATTAAAAAATTAATAATTATACTTACTTTATATGTTCGTAACGTCGTTTTTTTACGTTTTAACTTTTTATTCAACTTGAGAAGTCTTTTATATGTTGTTTCAATATAACCTTATCAAAATTATTCAACTTCGCAATTTTTAGGATAGTCATATTCCGATAAACGTGACGTGGAGACATTTTTTCACAGGTTTTAATGAAATTTTATCTACGTATGTATCTTAATGTGTAGAATAAGGATATAATAATCAAAATTGTAGCTGGATACTGTAGAAAGAATAACAATTCGTTAAAAAATGATTTTTTAAGGTTAAGAAATCTGTCATATCTTCGTTCTGTTTGGCCGTTCATATGTATTTTCAATCGTCAATGCATAGTTTGATACAGGCTTTAGATTCTAGGGAATTTAATTGATAAATTTTGGCAAAAATTTGTGAATTTGACAAAAATTGTCAAAAAATCCAATGAAAAAGCACGATTGGAAGATTGGAACGTTGAATATAACCTATACAAAACGAATAATTAAGAGTATTTATTAATGAGAAAAAAACAAATTAATGAACAAGAGAAAGTTTCTTCTTCTTGCATTCTAATGTGTATTGTCTCCTCATGAATTTACATACAATTTTGTTTAACATTTAATGTATGGAGTATAGGTTATATTTGATATCATGCTTTTTATATTATTTAAATATTAGTTATAAGTTATAAGCTATTTGGTTTAAAAAATACTGTGATTGCCATTACATCTTTATATTTACTGAAACCATTCTTTTTATAAATAGTTATTGCATATTCCACATACAAAAATGTTGCGAAAAATGAGCAGCTTACTACAAATCACTGTAAGTATCATATTTATATAAAGAAATTTTTAATCAAATTTCTAAATAAATTGTGCTGAATTTATTTTATATAAAGATTATTAATATGATAATTTTTTTTTTGTAATAGGCTCAGGGATACAAAATGTGTAACAGACACTTAAATTTTGTACCTATTGTAGTGGAACAGAGTGGACGTGGTGAGCGTGCATATGATATTTATTCACGTCTTCTAAAGGAGAGGATTATTTGTCTTATGGGTCCGGTATGATATAATTTTTGGAACTAGGAATATTAATGTAGAATTTTTTAAAATAATTTTTTTATAGATTACAGATGATGTTTCTTCCGCAGTAGTTGCTCAACTTCTTTTTCTGCAGTCAGAAAGTAGTAAGAATCCCATTCACTTGTACATTAACTCACCTGGTGGCAGTGTAACAGCAGGACTTGGTATATACGACACTATGCAATATGTTCTTCCTCCTGTCTCTACATGGTGTGTTGGCCAAGCATGTTCTATGGCCAGTCTACTTTTGGCAGCTGGAACCAAAGGCATGCGCCACTCTTTACCTAATGCTAGAATTATGACTCATCAACCATCAGGAGGTGTACAAGGACAAGCTACGGATATTCAAATACAAGCCTTAGAAATTCTTAAATTAAAAAAACAAATCAATGAGTTATATGTGAAACACACTGAACAGGATTTAGAAAATATAGGTATGTGTTAATATTTTCTCTGAAATTTGCAGTGAAATATATCCATATTTAATAAAATAATCATATTTTTATAGAAAAGATTATGGAGAGAGATAATTTTATGAGTCCAGCAGAAGCTAAAGAGTTTGGAATAATAGACAAAATATTAGCTCATCCTATGCAAGAAGAAACTGCGAAAGCAGCAATAGAGAAATCGGATAATGTGGCAGCAAAGCCTGTTACTGCATAGGATGAGTATACAGGTACTATTTTATGTTGTAATAAATGCATTAAAAGAAATTGTGTTTATCAATGTTTAATAATAATAATAAACTATTTATAAAACAAATTATAAACTATATCCTATTCAACTGTGCTCGAAAGTAGTACATTCGCCCTTTCTCTCAAATCGGTGTATATAAAATATACTAACTTATAACAGCAGTATGAATATCGAGATAATATAATCACCTTACTCTTTTTCTGTGTATTAATATCTTCAGAACTAGAGCAGAAGCACAGTGTGTTGCTAAAAGCAACTGTCTAACTTGCGATATATGAAAAACCTATTTACCCTAAAGTGTACTATCATGTGTTAAAAGTTCGCCTCTGTTCAAGTTTCATAGCCCAATTGTAATTACGCATGTTGTTTACAATTTACAGATTTGTTTCAACAATTTTTATACATCAGTAGAAGTCAATGTATTACGTTTCGTTTAAATTTACCCTGTTTATATAACCATTATCTTACGATTTTACCTTAAAATTCTCTCTTGGCAATTTATGTTATTACGAATATCCATACACACACGCTAATTTTATAATATATTAATTTAAAAAAATTCCAAATTATTGCATTTGCAAATTATTGCAAAATTGCATCTACTTGACTTTGCCCGATCGTACTTTAACAACAATCAAGAGTTAACAAAAATTATACGAGATATAGATAATGGAAGACAAAGCCTTGTATCCCAAAATATATACATGATTAAGTAGATTCAATATGTAAATGCGAGCATTTTTTGTAGCGCGTAGTATATCTTTATAACTCTTGAAGGTGGATGGTAGAGTTGTATACTCAGTGCTCTTATACATAATATATCAAAATATCCCATTTAAGATCTATTATCACCAGAAAGCTTTATAAAGAAAAACTCTATAAAGAGATATGCTTTATAAAAAGGACGGAATAATTCTTGTCATTAAGCCTTAAAAAGAATTAAGTAAAATTGTTCATAAAAATCGATCCTCATAAAAAAATATCTCAGGAAGCTATTTTTTCAAAACTATTACCATCCTTCGCGAGAAAGACCAGTCTTGTGCGTTGTTTGTTTCAATGACATTCACGTCAGAATTTATTGCGGACAGACCTGCGCGTGTGCAAGCATTAGTATGTCTTTCTTTTCTTTTGGAAATCTAAGTTCTCGTCCCGCTAATCGGGCAGTCTCAAGTTCACGCTCAGCTAAGGCCAATTCCATTGCCACGACCCCGCCGCCACTCTCGTGCTCCCTAGCCACCCAGTCTAATGCCATTTGACTGCGCATATCATCGTCTAACGCGCGATGACTATAATGCGCGACTACTTCCTGCCTGCTGCACTGTCTCTCTCTCATGGCTTTCAAAGAGCCATTCCAATGAAGCAATTGAAAGACTGTCATTAATTCTTGAAATTCCAACATTGTTCTTCCACGATTGCACTCCAACATAAAACGGAATGCACCTATTCCTGTGTTTGGATCCTCTTTCTCGTCGCCACTCCCCTGAAAAAAACATGTGTGTGTTGTGAACAAATATCTTTAATTTAATATAATAAATAACTTTTCGTATTTTATTTACTTGTGCTTGGCTTCCAACTCCGTTTGATGTCGCTGAAGGCTTCGCAAAACTTGCCCTCGCCTCCGCAACAGCTTTCTCGATAAAGTCATCAGTAATTTTTCTCGATGGATGCTCATTGAATACAGAATTCATCAGTGCAATTTTTGCAGCCGATCTGCGCGCTTCCGCCTTAGTGGGGCAATTCTGAAAACTTCCAAAACAGGATCCACCAGGAAGTGTTACGTAACAAACATAAGGCGGGTTAGCGCCAGGGACAGACTCATAAATAACTAGTGCACCGTTTCTCAATTCTGCTCCTCTCGCTTGTTTCATCTGCCAAAATTCTTGCAATGCTTCCACAACATTTACTACACATAAAAAGTAAAAAAATATGATGTAGAATTACATAAAATTATGAATGTGCTCATAAAATTAAAACGGAAAATTTTATTATACCTCTGCCATAGCCTTGACTGTGCTTTGCGAAACTATTAACAACTGCGTCCACAGCTTCTCTCAAAACTTGTTTAGCACGGGCATCCACCAGTCCACCTGTGACCCCCATGTTTTCAGGAACACGAGATTTTGTCTTAACTGGCATCATGCCCTGCATTACTCAAAAATTTGCATACATTTACTCTGAAAATATACAGAACTTACATTAGTCAAAAACTTAGATCTATTTATAATATATCCAAAAGTATATAAAGCATTCTTTTAAAATTATTTATAATTTTTAAATTAACGGTAAAAACAGCTTCCACAGCAGCATATATTTTTTTATTTCAAATTTTTTGATCAAAAATGCAAAATGTCGAATATACGTGCAAAAGTGGAAAACATCCTTCCCAAAGTTATAAGAACGCACTGATCGAGAGTTATTTGAATTCGTGAATAATAGAAATAGCAGAAATACATTCTATAATAAAATGCTGAGTTCCCATGACGAAGCACAACGAGCACCATTCGCTGTCACCGTTGACACTTGCACTCGCGTTCGGCGTTAAATTGGCCCGCTCGTGCCGTCGTGCACGACGCCGACGCTCTACTCACCGCAGATTCTGCGAAGACAATGCTGCGTACGCGCACCACCGTCTTCCTGGTGGACGTCTGACGTCCGACGTTCACCGCGCGACGAGCGTGTCGGATGCTGCGCGACAACGGGAGCGGTGGGTCGACGGTGGCATCGGTGGCGCGAGACGATTATCCAGGAAGCCCGGTCGCACGGCAGACCCCAGGATGCCCAGGAATTCGGTGTAAATTACTCTCCGATCGGCGCACCACCGCACCGAGCGCCGCAGGATCAAATTGCAAGCACATATAATACGTTTAATGGCCCCGGGACCGCTGACGATTTCCAGAAAACCAGGGCCGTGTAACCTGCGCGTGCACCCCGCAACACCGCCGCTCACCTCATCGATCTACGTGTTTCATTTTGTCGCCGAAGCTCGCCAATCAAGAGTTAAGCATTCACATTTTTTTCTTTTTTTCTTCTTTTTTCACAATGAGTTGGATGCCAACAATAGCACTTTTTTGAAGGAAATATATCATTTTATTCCTTTAATATATATTTTTCTTAAATATTTGTATTGTCATATATATAACATAAGCTTTATAGTAAAGAAATAAACGATTCGCGAAGAAACATGTCAAGAGATATTGATCATTTGTCTCTCGCGCTTCCGACAGGTGCACCGGTATCGAATGTCATAATATAAAATTCAGTTATATCGCATTGAAGGGATTCTTTTTGTTTCAATATGATCTCTTAGTACGGTACATTGTGCAGGTCATTAAAATAAAATTATTTTATTGCATATAGATAAAAGTTACAAAAATGACAATATAATTCAAGATATAATGTGTCATATCTCTACATCAAATATTTTAATTAATCGCTTTTGTACCTTATGTTTGATGAAATTATTTATTAAAATTGAAAAAGGGTAAAAAAAAGAAATTATATATGAAAATAAGAAAGGAATCTTATATGAAAAACAAAAAAAATGTGATAAATGTTGACTTTATCAGCTTGATTTTTGCCATTAATGTTCTCATATGCATATATTACATGCACCCAATTTAGGATATATACGCGACATTATCGGAGCAACGTGAATAATTTGTGTTCTAGATGACTGAAAATGCTTGCGAGAAGACTTGGCGACAAATGCGCCATCATATAATTACTCGTGAAACTTTAATGCACCTGTGGGTAAAACAGCACTATTTATAGTTACTGTAACCGCGGTATATTTAAAAAAAAAATCTTTTTTTAATAGAATACTATTTTTAAACATATTTTGCCTTAAAAGATATATTAAAGTAAATAATAAAAAAATTTTTATTTTATATAAACAATGCTGTGATTAATTCTTAAGGCACTTTCGTCGCTATTATTTTTAATTTTCAAATATTTATTAATCTAATATTATTTTAACATTATTTCATATCTTATACTTTACTTTTTTGATATTTTACATTTAATTATTACCATATATGTATATAAATTTAAAAAAATTAAATATAGCTGTTTAAGTAAATAACTTTCAATCTAGCAATAAATACTTTTCAAAGAAACAAAATGACTCAACTACAAATATTTATAAAAATCTTCATATATCCTCATTGCGCACAATATTCGGTACAAGTAACCAAATAAATCGAAATTATCAAATTTATTAATATACAGAAAACATCAGCGACATGTCAAGTAACATAAGTATCCCGTTGGAATTGGGATTCGTGTGAAATGAATCCCGGCGTGCCTTCGTACGAGCAGTTAGTATATCTATGTATACCCATGGCAGGACATTGCTCGCCCTTAGAGCGTTTGCCCGCCTCGGAAGCAGGAAAAGCCCGCGCACGACCCAAGCGACGACGATTTACGCGCGCACATTTCCCGCGTGGCTAGCGGCTCCAGTGCAACCGTGTGCATAGGATCGCGCGTGTGTGAGTACCGTGGATCAGCTGAGCGCCAGCTGTGTCGTGTGTCTCGGCCAATCGGTGACGAGTATACAGCGCGGCGAGGCGCCCACTACTTTGGCGTTCCCGCGAAACGTCGATTCACAAGCGCCGAGGCAGTACGCTGTGCGGTAGGATCGTGTGCGGGTTTATGACCTCGTAGTCCTACGCGATTGTCCCCGGCGTGCTAATTTCACGTGTGTGCAGACGTGGTCACAAGTACTGTACGTTTTCCGTCCTGACGCGAGTCCAGTGTGAAATCCGTGGCGAAAACGACGACACGAGACCAGCAGGAAATACACAGATGTGCAGCACGACGCGCAGCTGCACGGCTTCGGCGGGCTTTTGCACCTTCCGTTTACCGCGCACGACCCTTTGAAGTCAACGTGAACCGTCCCAGCACCAGGACCTGCCTCTGGCTGTTCGGCCAATGTGGATTACTGCATTTTAAGGGTAATTTCACCCGAACGAACTGGTCACGCAAGCAGCACCCGAACGGAGAGACGCCGATCGTGGAGTAGCTTTCAGGCGGGCAGAAAAATCAGAATTTACATGCGGAGAGGAAAGTATTCCGGTGCCGAGGCATTGTGGCAATATCGTGTACGAAATGTGTAACGAAAATGTCCAAAATCTGCCCCTTTTTTGAGGTTATGCGGTACATATAGAGGGCGTCGTATACGTGCAGGGGTTGGTCGTCGTTTCGCGCGCTGCTCTCCCGCGCTCTTAAGATTCACGTCCTCTATTTTCGTTAAAATATTGTTAATTCCCGGCTTGGGCATACCGCAAAATAGCTTTAAAAAAAGCCGAATAAATTTTCCGACCATCAAAATTTACGGTGGACAAAAATCGTGAGTCGATATATCGAATCAAAGGCTGCCAAGTGGACATGCATTATGGCGATTGTGTGTTGGTAGGTTTCGCGCGCTCCTCCACTTTTCAGGATTTTCCTAGGAAAATCATTGTGCCTAGATCGAGAAAATCAAGCGTACGCTCGATCTAAGAGTCCCTCCTATCACGGACATATAGAAAAAAATTATTCTGACGGCAAATATTTTTCGTACACGTCGACAATCTCGCAGCAAGATGCCACAGACCAGGTGAGTGATGATGTTATGTTTTACGTAAAATTTGGACTGTATCTTTTCTTCCTGGGCTCAGGAGTATTTTATATGTGATGAAATCGATTCGGCGCGTATCAATTGTCCGATTAAAAAATATATTTTTTCCGTTCATGCTAAAACTTTGCACATATAACCTTCTTGCTGTGGATGCTTCCTTTTCTAAAACTTTAGCAGCTTTTCTTCAATAATATAATAATTTTGCATCCACTAGTTTTTCAGATAACACTATTTGCTATATGAATCTGCAAACAAACTGCACATTTGTTTTAAAATACTTTTAATGACTATTGAATTTTTATACATTAGCCAAAAATCATGTGTTTGATATTTTCGAAGACGTTTATTTTGTTTACCTCATACAAATTGTTAGAGTTAAGCAATATTACAAGCTTTTGCAAAATGAAGTAAATTTGTGTTGTACAAATAGTTTACAGGAAAAGAAGTCACAAATTTACTTGCAAGGAGGCAAGGCACTATCTTTAAAGCGCAAAAGGCGTGCAACAGAGCTCTCAGAGGATTCAGAAAACATTTATCCACCCACTAAAGTGCCAGTGCTGTCTCACTCCTCATATACTGAATCTTGTCTCACTACACACTCGGTGGACACTACATGCACTCTTCAACATCAGACGTCTCCACTGAAGGAACAGCAAGAGCCAGCAACATGGTCCGAATTAAGAACTGCCACTTGTTTCCTAACACCATCAGCCTCTAATAGCACATCTAGCAGACCTAGTCCATTGCCATCTTTTCCATGGGCAGATGGCTCCCAAGTATGGTCCCTTATGTGTCTTGGAGATCAGAAAACTCTAATTCAGAGGGATCCAGAAATGTTCCAAAGGCATCCAACATTGCAGCCACAGATGAGAGCAATTTTATTGGATTGGTTAATTGAAGTTTGTGAAGTATATAAACTACATAGAGAAACTTATTACTTGGCTATGGACTATATAGACAGATATCTGTCTATTCATCATGATGTACCTAAAAATCAGTTGCAACTCATAGGAATAACATGTCTTTTTATTGCTTCTAAGGTTTGTATATATATATATTTTTTTTTAAGTTAAATTATTTGAAATAAATTTAAATAAATTTTTCTTCTTTTTTTTATTTTTGTTTTTGCAATTTAATAGATATTTTTATTTAACAAAGAAATTTGAAAATAAAATATTATAAATCTTTTGCTTGCAGGTTGAAGAAATATATCCACCCAAAATCGCAGAATTTGCATATGTCACTGATGGAGCCTGCACAGAAGAAGAAATTTTAGGGAAGGAGTTAGTAATTTTGAAAGGACTTGGTTGGAATTTATCTCCCATAACTGCTCCAGGGTGGCTCAATATTTATATGCAGATCGAATCGGGCGATTCATCCAGACCAAATGCTTTTATATATCCACAATATGGTGGACTGCAATATTCTCAAGCAGCTCAGCTATTGGACTTGGCGACTTTGGACAAGGGTTGCTTAAAGTTTCCTTACAGCCACATAGCTGCTGCGGCAATTTATCATACTCAAGGAAGGGAATGCGCATTAAGGGTATCACGATTGTCATGGGAACAACTCGCTCCTTGTGCCAAATGGCTCACAGCGTTTGCTACTACCGTCGCGGAAGAGGAATCCCAGTCTCTCTTAAGGTCTACAATCATGCCTGTGGAATCGCACTCTGGATCCGGACTGAAGGCCACCGTACCTAATATCGTCGTGGACGAATCGCATCGCATACAGACACACGTGGTCGACTTGAAAATGCTGGAAAAGGCGCAGCGATTAGCCGAAGGAATTTCAACCGGCTATGCGAACGATTCGGACGTAATTGTCGAATCTGGTAGACAAAGCCCGAACGAGAGCGGTCTTTTAACTCCACCGTCTAGTAGTCAGAAAAGTTCTCCGGTTTCGCCGTGTCCTACACCGCAGTGTTCCACACCGCAGTTACATCCTTATACATAATTAAATATTTGCAAGTACTTTATATTACATACGATGAATTCATATATTTACTACGTACGCACGCAATGAGAATTTCACTGAGCATTTCCGACGATTCATATAGAAAAGAATTATTAAATGCTTTAAAGAAGCATTTTGAAAACTATCGCATACATGCGGAAATACTGATGACATTGGATATCGTGTGACATGTTATTGTAAATAATATGATGCTTCCTAACATTCGTTGTTGCGAATAATTGGATTAGAGATACTTGCCTTTCGAGTCGGATTTAGTAACAACAAGCATTATAAAATGTCAAGCATTTTTTTCAGACATACGTAAAGTAACGCGGAATTAATACAATATTAGTTATTTTATTCACGAACGGTTGAAAAAGTGCCTTTTGTCAAAGCATTTACAAAATAATATGCCTGTCAAAGTATTTATAAAATGTCTTAAATATGAGCCATATACATGGCTATTCTCTGTGATTGTACTCACTGCACTAAAGTTCACGTCCTACATCGGATTGAGTCATAAATAATTTTTAATAATTATTTTTCTTAGGTAAGTTTTTGCTACTGCGGTTAAAGTGTTTATGATTCAACCCGATATTAACACATTTAGATTCAACTTGTCTTTATTACTTTATAAACATATATATAACGAAACACAGAAAGATGGTGCCTGCAAAAAGTGACCTTAAATAATTATTTCTACCTGATTTTGAAAGAAAGATAAAATATTGTGAATAGTATTCTTTTATACAATTTGCTTTATGGCAGCGCGTATTGAGCCGGGGATGTATTTTTATGTATATGTATATTATGAAATTCTATTAAAAAGTCTTCTCTATTCTTAACTCAAGAGTAAATGGTGAGGGATGAATGAAGGAGTGAAGTGTGACAAGAACAAAAAAAAAGACTAATAATCTTTAATGAGTAAGCATTAAAATTTTGTGGTGAATCGCACTGCCTTGCATGTAGCAATGTGCCGGTTTATACATATTTGTATGAAGACTTTGACAATAAAAATATTTGCAGACTTACATTAACAAGATAATTATTTTATGTTTGCGAAAATTGTTAATTTATTTATACTTCTCTCGAATATGATTTTGTTTTAATAAGAGCAACAGTTTATGATAAACAATTATCATTAATTATTAAATAATTTGGCGTATTCATCGTATCAAATAATCATTTTCATTTTTGTAATTATATCTCGAATAATAAATTTCGAAGATAATGCAAATCAAGGAAAGAATTTCTTAAATTTCACCAACAGCACCGATTAATATCGACGTGATAGTTGCGATGCGGACGGGAACGATCCCGCCGGGTCTTGATTTCAAATTCTACAATAATCGATTAGTAAAGCGAACAGTGTTGCGATATGGGACCGGTTGTATGCGCATGTGCGGCTCTGCGCATGTGCGGTGATGGAGATCCAGTGCCGTTATATGTTATGTGTTGACTGTATGGCGGGACGTTTTGACATGAGAAGGTCTGGTGACTACAAATAAGGTAAGATTTATTTATTTACAAGCATGGAATCTACGGAGCCAGCAGCTAAAAAACCAAGAAGTAAAAAATTTCAATCAATTTCAAAAAATTTAGAAATATTTTTAATGTAGCGGGGTAACGGTGCCTTGTTTAATTTGTATGAGACACTGTACTGACGCCGTATTGCCGCACATGCGCATACAACCGGTCCCATATCGCAACACTGAAAGCGAATCGCCACGTATAGCGCGATACATTCGATAGTACTGCATTACCGATCAAGTGCGGAATATTCGTGTGGCGCCGCGATGCCGAGTCGCGAAACTAAACGGTGCGCTCTGATTCGTCGCCGCGTTCATATTCAAGTTTGTCAAACGTCTCGCAGCCGTTAGTCAAACCGATCGCAAAACGAATTCGCTCGCAGACTCGATCGCTTGGTGCGAACGTTGGTGCGGAAGTTGAAGTGCCTTACGTGCGGTAGGAGTCCGCCTCGGTCTAGACATTTGCGGATTCCGACATCAATGTTGGTGCATATCGAGTGACGGAAGTGTGAGTGTAAACACGTTGCCTCTGCACGAAAACTCCCTTTGTCCTCCCAACAGTCGTGAGAAGTGCAAGAGTGAGTGAGATCTTTCGAGTGTTCTTCGTAAGTAGTTTTGCTTCAAACCTTCGTTCTTCTTTATGTGAGTGTCTCGTACCATGTTTTGTGGAAGATTACTTTAAGGGCTCAAAGGGCTCATTAACTCCGCCGGCGGGATTTGTGAAACTTTGCTGGCATTTTTTATTACTCGCGGAATCCTTGGAGTCCATTTCTTCTCAGAACGACCTACAAATCAACAATAATTTCGTAATAAAAAAGTCAATATCATTTTTTTAGAGATGTAACTGACATTCTTTGAAAGTAAATCTAACAATATCAATTTTTTATATGCATTTTTCGCATTTTTACTGTATTGTTTACTAACTTTACTGTATACAATGTTATAAATTTATAAATATTTATCACAGCGATATCGATATGAAACAAAATATTTAGACATTCCATGTAATTCTGTTATATTTATTTTTATTAAATTGTGAAGTGATATTATCTACAATGGTATTTCCTAGCAGAAGACCGATAAGAATTTTCGAAGTAGTGGAACAAGCCCGAGAATGTCGAGCCCAAGAGGCATTGGAGTGTCTCGTGAGGGCACAAGAGTCATACTGAAAGAGATAACTGCGACTCTTCACAATTCACCAATGATATATCCTTCGCAAGAAAAGGTACTATTGATAAATTTAAAATTTTTATTGTTTTAATACTATTTTTTATATTGTATTAAGTTGCACCACATAAAATTGCAGATATTCGACCAGTTGATCGCGATTAGTAAAGTGAATATAAAGCATATTTCTAATTGTGTTAATCATTTTTAGATAAGATATTGTGTTTCTCAATTTTTTAAACAAGCTATTTTTGTTATTGCTAACTGCAATAATTGCAGAATTGAAATTAATACTATTGCCAATTGCTAAATTAAAAGAAATAAAAAAGAATATATTTAATATTTAGTTGAAAAAACTACTAGTTGTGCATTAAATAAATTTTATCTTTTCAAAAACACAGTTTTTTAAATTTTGATCGGCAATTTCATGTGCAATTTACAGTACAATAAGAAAATTGTTCTGACGATAAGTGTAGCACAGTGAGAACTTTCGGGACAATACTTTTCTCACATTTGTTTGTGTGATACATCAATAATACGCCTGCACGGAAATAACAATAGCCAACGCAGCCTGGCTCTTATCGCCCGCGCCTTCTCCTTTCACCCTTCTTCGCTTTCCTCTCGGATTTCGCAGCTGACAGTCAGACCGGAGAATGTGTTTCTATAAATAAATCTCCGTATATCTCCAGGAGTACCTTGAAACAAAAATAAGTTTCGCTTCCCGCCATGCGGTAGCATTTCTTTGACGACCGGAAGGAACGCGGATTTACCCGCGGATGAACTCGCGTTTTAATTTTATATCCTCTCGAATGCTTTCTCCATATTATGATATATAAAACAATTTGATGTAATTCAGCTTTGACCAGAAGAACAGATGGAGTTGAGACAAATCTCGTCTTTTGCTTCTTGCAATCAGTATCTGAAAATTGCTAAATTTTTTTGAAGAGCTCGAAGAGCTTGAATATGATGTTATCTTTGTCACGTGTCACGTTATTTTATTATTTTATTTTAAATTCAATGAAAAACTGATTAACGATGGGAAATAACTGTAAAGAAATATAACTGTAAAGCGCCTCGATTATTTTTTTACGTGTCCATGCGTGCTACGCGCGTGGAATGAAATTAAACGCATTCGTCAAGTGGGTGTGAAGCATCTTGTAATTACATACAATTTGCACGAATTATACGTCAAATATATTATTGTATGTTCTACAATATATATCTGTTTTATAAACAGATAAATCTTTAAATATCAAATCAACAATATTTTTCTCCGTCATTCTCTGTCAGTTTTAATATATTAAGATCAAATATACCAAAATGTTGACCAAAATACCAAAAGACTGAAGTTTTAATATATTCTTTAATATATTCTCATATTTTTCAGTTTCTTCCACCTGTTCGAAGTGATTTCATCTACATCATATGATGTAAACAAAATCTTTATAAGACAATACCATACTTTGGTTTGGCATGTCGATCTCCCTTGTCACGATTACATACGATAAGATGTGGCGTTGCAACCGTGCACTTAATTATTTCGACATTCGTCAATGCATCGCAATCTTATTCCAGATATCAACTAGTGATTTAAAAGATCTTTTATTTTCTCATCGAGCTATCTCATCGGTACTCTTCGTATTGGATGATAGATGATACTCTTGAAGATTCTCGTCTGGAATAGCTCTCATAGCAGTCATCGCAGTCATCGCAACACGCACTCGTGTCAGCGTGATAATATACTCACCTTATCTCACGATGCTTTATCACCGAGTGTATCCGCGTCGCTCCAGATAGCGCTACGCTGTTCGCGCGGCTCTCAACATGCGCTCGATGGCCCAAGAGTCCTGTTTTTCCCACCACTTCCATAGTTGGTGATCTTTGCGGCATAATGTCCGTACGGCGTGTGCGCGGCTGGACGGTACGGCACGGTGCGACGGGCGTTAGTACGCATCATCGTGGCGCGACGGAGGCGATGGTACTCGTCGCGGTGCAGCTCTTGCCGAAAGTCCGGTCAACGCGCGGCGACACCGTGTGAATCGTCTCGACGGCGGCCTCGCCGAGGATCTCGAATTTCGTTCGTGAAAGGTGAGGCGGTGTTTTGCCGTTGTTTTACCCTTTCCCTCCTTTCTCTCTTCCTCTTCGGCGACCTCTCGCGCGGTGCACATGCACACGTATGTATGCGCGGTGCCGCGCCGAAGTGTGTCGTTCGTTGACGATGACGGGTGCTGGTGGGTGGTTCGGCGTTGGTAGTGGTGGCTGTGGACGTCTAGAGTATCGACTAAGGGAACGCGCCGCGGGGGCTAATATTAGAATCTCGATGAGAGATAACTGTCGTTGACCTCACGTCGCGGACCCTAATTTTGGGCCCGCCGCTCGCGAGACACCTTAACTCTTTTTTTTTTTCTTTCTCTCCGTCTTTCGCCTCGTCGGAGAACGGTCTGTGTCATAAGAACGTCGTAGATTCCAGAGCGCGCGCCGAGGGTTGCGTCAGAGCGACGAGTGTCGAGTTCTAGAATTGATTAGGAAGGACTTGGTCGTGACACTTCCCGCGTCACAGAGCCTTATCAGTAGCTGTTTCATTTTTCTTTGCTATTTCGCGTTTTCATTTTATTGCCATTTATCGCTTGTTTTTTTTTTTTTTTA